CTAAAACTTTTGGACAACCCTGATGGGATAGCGAATATCGCTTTTCTCGATTGTATTAGATTCAGCTGCCCTTTTCATCTACATGTCGTTCTCTCCTTGGCTCTCGGGGGGTTGGAGCGGTGGATACGCCACTGTAGTCTGCGTTTTAAATGGTGGTCCTCTAGAAACTATTATATTAGTTACAATCTTGATATAAATGAAAGGCATTATAAATTAAGAAACCACTTAAAGTTAGAAGAGCAACGACTGACATATTTTATATTTGTAAATATCAGGATAAACAATGTTTGACAAATTAATTAAACCAAAAGAACAAAATCTCACGTCTTGTCGTCTTAATGGGGTAACAGAGATATTTCTAATGCTTTAACATTACGTACGTCTACTTAACTTACCATACAATTGTTTAATAATCAACGAAAATTTAACTATTTCGACATGTTTCCCTTTAATGTAACAACCACAGGCACACCTAGCAAGTCTGAATTTAATAAAAAAAGCGAAATTGCGAGACTATGAATACGGTTATCCACACAATTCCAAAGGCTATCATCCAATAAAGCGGGTACGTAGCAAAGGTATCAAATCTTCGTCCGTAGTGAAATTGAATATTTATCTGGGTAGTATCTCTATTCCGGAACAATTTTTATAGGGGGAATACAATCTCAAGATATTCGGGAGGGCCACTCCACGAGGATATTGCCAAATACCTTGCCTGCATTACCTTTATTGCCTCGCGACGTCGCGTGCCCGGTTTGATTCTATCTGAGATATTAAATGTTTCTTCGTAATCAGACGCGAGGGGTGGGTCTTTTTACGCGCTTTAAGACTTATGTTTCAAAATATTCAATAAATTATACTTGACCACAGTATGGAAATGAAAACATCTACTTGACACTACACTAGGTAGTGTCAAGCATGATTTGTTCTAAAAATATCGCATATATTAATAATCCATATAGTATGATGACTGCGTGGCGCAGTTGCCAAGGTTTTGGCTTCGGGGGTTTTGGGTTCGATTCCCACATGGGACAACTGTTTGTGCGACCCACAGACAGTTAAAACGTCCTTACAACACGTTATCCTAAAGTGAGGGCAATGTTTAAAAAGTACTTCTTTTATTATTATGTGTTTTTCACATACATCAAGGCAATTATAATTGTTTAGAAATGACAATGTTGCTACTTAAATTTCCATTGTTTGGAATAGTTTGATGCGGAGCGTGGGGATATTTAGAACATCCGTTGAGTTTCAGATAAGTTGTCAAATTATAAAATTGTGGGCCCGGTTAACTCTTACCAGAAAATAGTAAGACTAATCTATCGTTATAAACTGCACATGTATTAAATTGATTTCTTCTTTTATAACTTTTTCTTGTACTTCTACTGAATCGTTTTATAATCTCTTGCAAATGAATTCCGCCTTATTACATTCTGTTCTGTTCTGATCTGGGCTAGTCGAGATATTAGAATTGGTACACCGTATGCAGTAAAATCCAATTTCACGCCAATATAACGGACATATTTTTTGACACACCAATATAACGGACATATTGACGAGCCGAATGGCGTAGTGGGTAGTGTACCTGCCTTCTGCGCCAGAGGGTGTGGGTTCGATCCCCACTACTGGAAAAATATTGTATGATGAACATAGTGTTTCTCTAGTATCTGGGTGTTTATATATCTATAATATGTATTCATTTACAAAAGAAAAGTACGTTTAAGTATGTTTATCAGTTATCTAGTAACCATAGTATAAGCTTTGCTTAGTTTGGGACTAGAGAACGTTGTGTGAAAATGTGTCCTAAATATTTATTTATTTATTTATTTATATTAATATCAAAACGGGCTTAACCCATTTTCATGTGCGCACACCATACAGCGTATTTCATCACGTTATGATATTGGCTAATATTACTAAATTGTAATATGTAGTCTTTTCCGATGTTAATTTAAGTCAAAATAGAATGTCTAATTGTCGGATTGAAATGTTATTGTAAAACGTTACTTATGCCATTCAGACGTATCATTGGTTTCGACAATAAGTTTTTTCTTCTTTGTTAAAAGCACGGCAACCAGTAAAACGTAGGTAGTTTTGAACCCTAAAATAGACAAAGATAACGAATGCTAACTATCGGTCGCAAATGGTAAGTATTTTTATATTGCCGCAAGGACTCAAGCCCCTTATTGTTATAATTATGGTACGTATTTAATCTAATTATTAATTTATCAATAATTTATTAGTTCAGTTTGTTGTGATTTATTTTAAAGTTGTTGGTTTGATACCTATTGCGTCGTGATATTTCCTACAACCTAGAGTGGGGGTGGTTGGTATTTGTTTTTGAGGGGTATAAATTCAACTCTCACAACGTACCCGGGGTAGTTTTTTTTTGGTTATTGGAAGTTAAGGCTGTTGCTCTGCTGGAAAATCTAAGTATTATTGTTATCCAATTATTGAGTCATTGACGAGTTATAGTTGTATAAACCGGTAAAAGCTGTGTTTTCTAACTTTTCTCTAATATTATGTCGACGTTTTAGCCTCTCGCTTTCCATTGCCTTTTTACAATATAAAATAATATAAAAAATTACTTTTAACGACAACGTGTATTGTTAAAATAATATAACAAAATTTAAAAATACCTGTGTTCAATTCGAACAACAAGTGACCTTTACGTACTCAAAATATTGTGCAAAAAGGTTTTCCCAGCCTGTTTACCGTATGCAGTAAGCGCCGTGAAATAATTTTGTTTGAGTTAATAATACTTAAGGCGCGTCGTTCATTACGCGCCATTTAATTCAATATGTCTCCATATCAGATATAAATCGCTTACAGGCGTACTTTAATTTTAAATTCTTTAAAGTCGACTCACAATGTAGACACGCGGACTATGTATGTTGTAGGTATAATGGGAAAAGATTAACTATTTTAATCGACAGTGTGAAACTCGTCGGTTTAAAAACGACATTTGTGTTTAATTAACACAGCAGTAAGCCCAATTTATTTTAATAAAACGTATTGCCATATTGGGCCTGGCTTATCATCGTGTGGCATTTAATGACACTTGGAATAGTAGTGATTATAAATAATTCCCAATTACTATATTATCGGCTTTACGTTGTTGTGCTCAATTAATTTGTTTGCGTGGACCAACATTTTTTTTCTTCGTTTCGTTTTAAAATGTCATATTATTTAAATCTGTAATAAATTAACATAAAATATTTGGTTATACAATGAAAATATGGAAATTTAATAGCGTATTGTTACTGTCCAAAATAGATTGAACCTAATCAAAACCAACAACCAAAAATGTATATCAATACGATGATTGTTATTTTTACCTAATAATAAACCTAATGAAGAAATGTCGCCAAATTTCCTCAACCTTAGTAATAATCTTGAAAAAATAACATATTCATCATTTTCCCCAGATAGACATTACAAAAACAATTCTCAATAACCATTGGTCAAACCGTAATAAATTTTAAAATCAGATATTAAATATATGCAAATTTAAGTTTATTCTGGATAGTTTAACATTGCTGTCTGTAAGATTAATAAGTCACTCATGTTTTATTAGGAACAACATTCCTATTTTAATTGATGGAAAAGGTTGCATTCTATATTATAAAGACTCTTCTGAGCTTTGGGGCAAAAATCAAAATCAAAATCATTTATTCATCGACATAAGAAACTTACATTTCATTTATCAATAGTCATTATTTTTTTTAAATCTACCACCGTTTCGTAATGAGGTTCCTCTAGCGGAGAAGAAACAGACGAAAGAAACTCCGTAGGTATCCTCTTTTTTGTAATTATTTTTTTTTTCTTAACAAAAAATTCAAAAACTGATTTTCAACTGATTTTTTTCCTTTTAGAAATAGCTTGGGAGCGATCAACTCATTCCCAGGGGTTATTGTCATTAATGTATTCATTTGTATTATAATAACCCTTTTTATAAAGTTTTTCTTTAATAAATTTCTTAAACCTGTTAATAGGCAGGTTTTGCGCATTTACTGGGATTTTGTTGTAAAAGCGTATACACCGCCCCATGAACGAGTTACTTACTCTATGGAGTCTAGTAACTGGCATTACAAGCTTGTGTTTGTTCCTCGTGTTCACATTATGTATATCAGTATTCTTATCAAAATTATTGATATTTCTACGCACATACATAACATTTTCATATATATATTGAGAGGCTAAGGTTAATATATTTATTTCTTTAAACTTCTCTCTCAAAGATGCATTCAGATCTAGATTATAAATAGCTCTTATGGCCCTTTTTTGCAAAATAAAAATTGTTTCTATATCGGCCGCGTGCCCCCATAGCAAAATACCATATGACATTATGCTATGGAAGTAACTAAAATACACGTTTAAAGGAAGTGGAAGAGGGCGTTTAAAGGAATCGAGTAATTGCAAGGGTGCCCTTTACTTTGTGTTAAAAAACGACGCAACTACGTTTCATTTATTTCTTGGAATATGAAATCGAAAGTACTCGCTTACTCGTTGTTGTATCGGCAATTAAGCCTCTAATTGGTTTCCGTCAAGCTAAATCCGATTAATACTTGTTTTTACTTGACGACACCCAATAACGAAGTCCGGTTCCACCATCGATAATTTCTGATTGACGTGAAACATGTTGAGCGCTCTATTCATTAGCGTTACAAATGCCATGGCTTTGCGATAACTAATTAAGGCAATTTGAGGCGCCCATTCGAGTTGTACAATGATAAACATATAATCGATGCTAATGCGAACGCTTTTACAGATTATTTCCAGCTAAAAAACGTACGTGGGTTGATGCTTATATGAAAAAAGCTTAGGAGTGCTCACTCGCCGTCGTTCAAAAAGAAAGAGCATTCGCCTCATTAGGCAACGTGAGTGGGACGCTAATCGTTATTTATAGACGATAAATTGCTATATTCATGGTGTTTGGAGCGGAAGACGCATAAATTGGACGCGCCAGTAGAGCCCTGACACCTGTGATTGCATTTACAATGCTAATTCACGGCACAATATCACGTCAACGGGTCGCGTCGCGCCTTGTTTTCGCAATCGCTCAGCGCTGGTCACACCTACAGTTCCAGAGCGACGTGAAAAAGAACCGCTCGAAATTCGCGGTAACTCTACTTTCTTTTTAAAAATGGCGGCTTCGGCGCCTTATGCTAATAATTGCGAAGTTATTGTGTTCGCGATTAAATCAGGAGGACATTGTGTGTGAGCCCGAGTGGAAAAAGATAGAGAGGGTGATTTAAGACTCTTTTCGTAGGGGTGGGGTAGGGTTCCATCCAGTGTAATTGTTTCCCACACATATAATAATTAAATTGTATATACTGATAGCTAAAAATATATTCATATCATTAGGCCATATTGGGGCCCTAGAGCACTTTGCGGCCCTGATGGAAAGGAAAAAAATTTAATGACAAAAACATTTTTCTGCTAATATCTTATGTTTTTTATTTATTCTATAAACTTTTAATTCTTTTATAAACGAATATATCTAGCAAAAATAAAGAGAAATTTCTATAGTTACGAATATATAAATTTATATAGACGGTACTGCATAGGAGGAACTATAACTATAGAACAAAGGAGGAAAATATCAAAATATTTTTTTTGGAATTGTAGCCATAGAACGAGTTGGTAGTAGCTAGTTGAGGAGCAATACACTCCTCATTTCCAATTAGTTATTCCAATTACCTGTAAAGTGAAAAAGAAGGAATTGTACATATTTTGTGGCTCAGTTATAAATAAAATCGTGAAATTATTGCAGATCCCACATCGTATTAAATAATATAATATTCATATGTCACTTGAAGACACAAAATATTTTTTGTATTAGGTCATCTATTAATAGTTCAGGTTTTTCTTAAAAATAAGTACAGTTCATGTTTATTTCCTATTGAAAAATTGTTTATAAGTGGATAAAAAAATAAAATCATGGTATTTATGAAGCCATCGCAATGTAGTCTCGACGTTTGATATTATAAGGTAATAAATATTCTTGAGTTATTCATATTTTGACGGCAAACCTACCTTGTTGTCTTGTTGAAAGTTGAAATTTAATTAACGGAATAACGATACGCAAACCTTCAGTTGCGTTACGGTCGTGTATTGACATTTATGACAGGCCGAAGGGAACGCCCCATAACAGGTACAAAGTCGACTGCCACCGCACGGATGATTGATGGCGAACTTGAAATTAATTATTGGAACGATAAAATCGCGGGTAAGGGGCCGCCACACGACGAGATAAGCCGCGGGATAAGCGGCCGCAATCCATTATCGGACGGTTAATTGATAATTACTTTCTTCCATTACCGGATGAAAAACCCGGTGATTAACTCTGAATCGGTAACGGGCACAATGGGCCGCGCGTTCAATTAAAAACCCTTGTCGAATGGCGACGGCTTCACGAAGAGCCGTAATCGCAGCAGACTCAATCTCGTGTACATGGAATAAGGAATTACTCGCGTGCGGAAAGTTTTTAATTAAACATTCACCCGTTTCGTAATTAAGACGCGAGTCAATCGGGCACAATAATGTCGTGAGGCGCTTTCGAAAGATATCTCGGACGGCCGCGTGTGTTTTCGATAAGCGTGCGCAACACTGGATACTCTGCGCGGCCGGAAACGTATTGCGCGTTTGTGTTTCGTGGCTGCGCTCAGAAACGTCAGTTAGCGTTATTCTTATTTAGTGATTATTGTATACGTATAATTAGAATGCAGCAGATTTCTTTACTTGTTCCTAGCTCAAGTTTACTGTGGTACGACCACGAAACAGTCTTCGATGTTGCACGAATTGACAAGTCCGTCTGGGGAAGTACCACGACCTCGCAGAAGACCGGCGTGAAGCAGATGTGTCAGACTTCTGCGTTTCATTCTGTCGTTAAGGCATCCGGAACCTATGGATATTATAAATGTCTTCATCTATCACTTAACATCGGGTGAACCGATTGTTCACTTGACATCTTTTCACATTAAAAAGGAACGTAAGTGAGCCATAATTGTGTGGAAAGTAATTTTATATTTATAAAACCCTTGTCAATGCTCATTTCGGCGGTCGTCTGTGGAAAAGCTAATCCGCCGTAGAGAAGCGTGGCGCGGCGTTCAGTGCCGCATATGCCGCATTTGAGTGTAATTTAAATGCATGCACATTACTCGTACGCCGCACTCGCACAATACTTTAATTTAATATAAATAGCTTCATTATTGAATATTAGATTCACCCAGGCTTAAATTCAGTTTCCCCCCAGTGAACCTCAATAAAGTTTTATGTAACTCTTCACAATTATTGTGATTGATATTTTGACAAACTGTTAACTTCTAAATGCTTATAGCTATAATGTTTTCTTGTTGCTTGTTATGGAATATAACTATTCTTTTATAAACAGTCATTTTGTTTTAATTTCATACCAAATTTACAAATGAAACTTAGGATGGTTTACAGCTTCTGCTGTTGTACGATTGCTCTACTGGTAACCACACAGAACGACCAGAGTGATGTTGAACTATTGTGTCAGGGTGTTGTTTGATGATTGAAATAACCTCTTGCTCGCTTGCCAACCTAACACATGATAAAAAAAAGAATCGTAAGAGTTTAAACATAATAAAATGGTGATGCATATTTGTTATTTATATCATTGAAAACAAAGTCTCTTAAAACACTTTCAAGTGATTATCAATGATAATCGTAATCATAATAATATATCTGAGTTACGTTCATTAATAAATTAAAACAAAGGCATTTATTACTTGTTATCTAGGAGCGATTCGGAAGCGACCGCGTCGTAATCTCCCAGACGTTTAATTTCGTTTTAAACGAATCGCCTGGCTCATATCCCATCCGAAATCCATGGCGCAATTGGCCCGCTCCGTCCGTATAAATTCCGGGTAAAGTCATCCGCAGAATTTCAATAGAGGGCGCTGATGTCCGAAAGCTTGATCTATCGTATCGGGCGCGCTCCTGTTTATGAGATATTTCATATCGTGCATAATTCTATGGCCATTAATCATAACTTCTGATACCGGATGTGCCGTTTACTCGATACTTTCGCGTAGCAACATCGCGATTTTATTGATTTTATCGTCTATCTAAACGTAAAGGGCATACAAAATAACATGAACTTAGTCAAAGCCGATATTCTTTTTTTTACAAGAGGCAAACGAGCAACCATGTCATCCGATGGTAACTTCACGCTCAAGATCACCTCCCATGGGCATGGGCATGAGTAGTTACAAGTGGTTGTCTGCCTTTGAGATAGAAATAAGTCAAACATTTTGGGTTATTTCAAGTACCTGTGAGCGTCAAACTGTACAATACCCGATTCCTAGGAAAAAACCTGAACCTCTACGGACAAATGTTCATTTCCTTTTAATATTATGTATTTTTAAGATACCCTACGGCAAAGTAATAAAGTCAGTAAATAGCATCCTTGACAAAAAATCAAGAACGTACAATTCCGATCTTATCATTATCTTGAACATTTCAAATGTCCAATATCAGTCGTAATAATTCTATCTCGATTTTTTTTTTCCTTTTTTTTTTTAATAATCCTCTTAGTCTACGGTCTCAATTCTGTAACCATGCAAGTTATTAACTATAACCTTTTAGTCAGTTATAATTATCTACCAGCCATAACTTGGTTCTTAATGAAGTAAAATAGTTATTTTGAATTCAAAAATGTGCGTGTCAGTTTTAATTTTACGAACAAGTTCTATTCTAAACGCCTTTTAAAACAGTTTAAACCTTCACTGACAGAGGAGTTAACAGAAAAAACGTGTTGTTGCAATTTAAAAATCATTGACTTAAAAATAACCGATACCCAACATTTATTTAAGGCGGAGAGGGAGACGTGTGAATAACAGTTGTAAAACGTCGCAGCGTGCTAATGCCGCGAACAAAATGCTGTAATGTCGCTAACTAATCAACTCTAGTAAAAAAATAAACCGTCCTACAAAAACAGCTTTTGGCGACCATACGAAAATTGCTTTAGCAGTATAAAATATTTTTAAGCAAACACATCTGAGCTCGATTGCGTGTGAATATATCACGACCTTTAGAGCGTCGTGCGAAGAGGCAAGGGCCGTTGCGAGGTTGAAAGAAGATGGCCGTCTTCCTGTAGTCGACGGATAAATTATTCTATTTCGATTCTGGGATGTAATGGTACTGCGGCCGGAGGAAGTCTTTATAGCGCAAGTGGTATCGCGACGGGGCCGCCTGTTTGTATATACCCGTGTCCCGTTGAATAATAAACTACATAATTATATCCCGTTTTGCGTTTGGGGAATTCGAACGCGGAGGCTGTTTACAATTACGCTCTGTTTTGTTCTACATAGCCATCTCAGGATATCTCAAATTTCTCAGGCTTTGGTTCTTTTATGTCACAGACGCTGTTGATTGACAGTAAATTAATATGTCAAGTCGAATCTTTTTAATTAACCTTTAAGACTTTATTTCTAGTTAACAACGAAATGTAAGAGTGGCTTTAATATTGTTCATTTAATTGCTAGTTTTTGATTAAGTTGTTAAATCATTTATAGTCGCGAGTGTAAGCGACGGAACATTAGATGAATTGAATGAAATAAGAATAAATAGTTCGCGGATCGACGCGAGCCGGGCGCGAGCTCACTTGCTCCATAAACAGGCTTCCGTATTTTTCAATCAGAGAGCTGTCAAAGCATTCTGACACCCTCATCCTATTGGCTCGCACTCGCCGAACGCCGAAATTGGTTTTCTACATTCAATCCATACAAAGTTTAATGTTATTCGTTTGCGATATCACCGGGATGCCGCCGATGTTTACCGACGCGCCAAATCATATTGGATTTGCAAACTTTTGTTTGTGGACTTTACTCCATTTCACTGTTAGTTCAGGCCCAGGAAATGTAATTTTAGATCTTTCCTCTCGTCCGCATCCTGAGTGCCATAGCAAATTTTTTAATGATTTGCGTCTATGCACCAATTAGGCGAACTAATTTTACTTCATCGTCATCATCATCATTACAACCGCTTGGAGAGCACTGCTAAACATATGCCTCCCCCACAGACTAAGACTAAGACTAAGCACGATACACCTGATACACCTGCATCTATCGACTTCCCACACATTTGCGCAGGTTGCACATTTTCCAAATCAAATTATTCTTAATGATTTTTTTAAAGTTAGTAATTATTAATATTATAGTTGAAGCTCATTTAAGGCTATAAGGAGAGCGATCTATTGAAATCTGACTTACATTTCTAGTTGGAGTCGAGCACAAGGAGTGTTGCTTACAAATTAACGTTACCGGATATCCAAGACCGTGGCAACAGTGGAGAGCGCGGTGCGGCCGCGGGCGTTTATAAATTGAAGGGCTGCTACCTGCGGCTTAATACGCCGCCGTTTCCGGTTCATTTCCGGGCGGCGCGCGCGGCGCCGGATATTGCTTTTAAGGTTGCGCCGCACGCCAACGTCGGAACGCAACCCGCTGTACTGTCCGCTCCCCGCTCCGCTATACGCCCCGCTGACAGACGCCACGAACCCCAAATGCATATGCACCACTAGGTTGTAATTTCCACCCGTGTGACAACGAATCGATACATTTCTTCTAAACAAACAGAATAGTTTACATTTTGTTTTTAAAGTAACGAACTAGAGTGCTGTGAAGTTCGTTATTGGAGATATGTTCTGTTTATTCTATTGAAAGAATATCGTTTTATTTTATTTTGTGTACATCCGTGAAAATAAAAACAAACTTTAATAATAGGATATAGGATATAGGATCGAGTTCAAGGTGTACTCGTATTCGTCAGAACGATATCTATTTAAAGACAGTATTTAAATTCAATTGTATGCTAAAATGCGATTCAGCAATTACGGATTCGAGTGACATAATTAAACAATAACAGCTGCATAACAATCGCCTCATACGACTAACGCTTTATAAAGGAAAGGAACAGAAACCCGATCCGTAGCAGCGGGCCCGGAAATTAAATTCTCCTTAAGCCTTGACGTTAATTAACTAACAACACGCGAATGTGCATACTGGCCAGTTCTCCAGAAAATAAGCAATATTCAATATCGCTAATTAACCATAATTTCCATATTGCATGAACGGTCCGTATGAAGACTGCTTTTTATTCTCGAACAAATTAATGGTGCGGTGGCAAATAAAAATTCGGTAAACCGAAATAAAATTTACCGTTAGAACTTTACTGCTGTATCTATTTAACTTTACAACATCGAAGTGGAAGTGTGCATATTTTTTCAACAGCTAACAACGTCACGCATTTAAATAGTTTCAACTAGTATGCAGTAACAATCATTTCGATGTCATTTTACGTGATGTTACTGCGGAAGTCCGGCAGTTTAATTGTTAGTTCGTGGTTTCAACTGGAGCATCGATTGAAATTGAGCATCGATAGAAACCTGTTTTTGTGTTTTTAAATTTAATAAAATGTTTTTAATGAACCGTGGCCAGCAGTCGATGTAGATTTGATACCGTAACGATGACGGCCGGCTTAATTCTCGCACGAATGAACTGCAACAGATCGTGCAATTAATTACGCAATGGAAGAGATATGCTCAATGCTGTGGCCGTTCCGAGTAGCTTTTCTATTGAATTATGCTCGGTATTCGTTGTGTTAAATATGTTTCTTATGCTAATAGTTTATGTTACGATATTCGAAGCAAATATGATAAACGTGGTATTCAAATTACGGTATTAATTTAATCCTACGCGATAGATTAACAATAATAGACTATAAGCATATAATTAAACTTTAAATATAACTATTTTAGCAAAACTAGATGTAGTCACAAAGCGATACATCAACAAACACGTTAATAAATAAAACACGTGTTTAGTATTTAGCTCTAATGTAAGAAGCGTGTAGTGTTGACGATTACCATATGGTTTTTTAATGTTTGCAGCGGGTAAATGTGGTAATTGTTAAAACCTTTTAAACCTATTTTATTACTATACAACATATGATTTTACTAAGCGACACTCTTTAATTTTAAGCTTACATTTCTCGTTTACATCCAATTTATTTGTAGGCTGTTTTTAAATAAATACTCATTTCTTATTAAACTGTACGCTGTAAAAATTATATAACAACGAATGCGCCAAACATTGCTTGAAATGCTAAGAAACAATGTAGATAAAAGACGCTGAGATTTTCGTCAGTCAGCTGTTTAGCTTACTAGTTAAAGCGTAAGTTGGTGAGAGTAATACATCCATGAGGCTTTTTTTCTTTATTTTCACTGGCATCTAAACATTTCATCTAAACTCCAAAACTTTTTCCATGTCCTTTTTATCCTATTTTCAATTTGTTCTTCATTACTGTCGTTCGTTTCGTTACTGTCGTTCGTTCTTCGTTACTATCTTCGTTACTGCCTCCCAACAGTCTTTTCTGTTGCACGAATGGGCAAAGCCGTCCGGGTAAGTACCTCAACCTCACAGAAAACCAGCGTGAAGAGTTATGCTTACACTTTATTAAAAGGTAGCAACGCATCTGCAATCCCACGGGTTTTGCAAATGTCCATATTGCAGCGGTTGGCAATGGGCAGCGGTTATCGCTCAACCTCAGGTAAATCGCCAGCGCATTTACCACCCTCTCACATAAAAATACTTTAGATTTGTAAAAGACAAGTTCGTAAATATAATTGACATTTTCTAGTTATACATTATCGAATTTTATGTGATTTTTATTGAGTTTGTCGTCACAAAGTATGTGTCTGGACTTATGTAGTGTGTCCATAGTGTAATCCCGATACTTTTTCGGATTACAAGGCTGAATGAAATAGGTCAAAAGTCATAAAAGCCGACCCTAAGACTGCGATAAAGATTTTTGGTGATGGTAGATCTCCTTACATTCTACTCGTTGATTATAAACTTTGTCTCTTGCTTCACTCCGCTGTTGTTATTGTTATAAAGATATTTTTGGACTTTAATATATTTGTTATCACTATTTTGTGGCTGCAGGTCTTTCCATATCGATGAGTGGACTTTGGTGTCGAGGGCTTTTTGTTAATCAATGAAGTAAAATATTGTTTTATTTTTACAATTCCTGATACATTTTGGTAATCAGTTCCATCTAAAGGATGTTCAGAGCCGTACTTGTTAAGTTGGTTGATATTAATCTATTGTAAGGCTCATTCTTTTATCTATAATCCATGAGAACAGTTTGCAAGAAGTATTTGCAGGGTGTGGTCGATAGTAGCTTGGATCTTTGGAGCGGTTTTTATAAACAACAATATGATCTTTGATTCTTACCACTGGCTCGCTGAGCTATCTAGCGTTGTAGAGATATTTTATATTATATTGAAGGGAGGCATACTAAAAGGTAGTAAGAGGTGAAGAATTTTATCACTTCGTTGATAATGCTTAACACACTACTACGACTATGTGTGTTTTATGAATGTAAGTATTACATTGTAGTATGTTTTTGATGGTTTTGTGGTCATATCGCTTGTATTCGTATATAAATTAAAAAAATCGATTAAAATCGAAATAATTGAAATTTATACATTATCAGATCGAGTACAAAAACATTCAACGCAAGCAGCCATATCGCGCCTAACGTTTCTACCGTTTTATTAAATCCTTTCAATCACTAAGTAGATTTCAATGTTTGTGTCAAATGTAGCCGCGATAAAATAGCAATTTATTATAATACAACACAATCTAGCGGGGCGGAGGTCGAGTGATGTCTAAGATAGAGTAATTAAAGTTATTTCATATTTATTGTTTTCTTGACTTAGAGATTATTTATTAAAATGCTAGGGAAATTTTACAAGAGCACAATTGAATTCAATGTGTTTTTACTATTTATCGGATATGCATATATTTTGAAATTCTTAGTCCAAATTTGTTACCGACCGTTTAAATTCCCAAGTATAGGTCAATAATTGTTATATCCCATAGAGACAGCATACCCCTAGTAGTAACGAAAAAAGGATATTAATTGTAAATTTTCACGATAATGTCCTAAAAAATTATCTTGCTAATCGTCACTATAATAAAACGTACTATCAGGTAAAAAATATTGTACCAACCCGTTATTTGAAGTTCTTATAAAGTTGATGCCACGGAATTGCGATAAAATGGCGAGATATTTTAATGGTATTTTAGTGCTACAGAACACCCATATAAGGGTCAAGGGATCGTTTCTACACAACTGTCATAGCGTTTTGCTTAATAGTATTTGGTGAATTAGAAATGCAATTTTCAATCAAGACCTTTTTGTTTATTTTCAATCATTTACTTTTTTCAAGTATTAATTTTGTGTAATATAATTTATCCAATTGTTAACTACGTTTTGTTTTAAATATTAATATTATTGGTGGTGTTAGTTTTATAACAAGCAGTTAAAAAGAAATGCCTTGTGTATAAAACGTATCTAGTTTTATAACAGATAAGCCTGTTTACAAACAAAAATTAATTATAAAGAAAAAGATATTGAGATTTTTATTATATGAAAACATCGCAAAGTTTATAAATTAGATAAACCGCAGATACCTAAACTTGTGGTCATTTGAAAATTCAACTTCTTCCTATAATTACTCGTGTTTATGAAATAATTTCTAACTACATAATTCTAAACACATAAAGTGATAATCCTTTCCTTACTATATATCATTACTATATATCCTTACCATATATATTATATATAATATTATAAATGCGAAAGTTTGTAAGTATGGATGGATATTTGTTACTCTTTCACGCAAAAACTACTAAATAGATTTAATGCAACTTTACAATAATATAGCTTGTACATCAGAATAACACGTAGGCTATAATTTATAAAGTTATTGTGTGATTTGTCCAAAAGATAGGTAATGATAAGTGTTAACTAAGTAGGAAAAAATTCAGCCATCTGCGAGATATTCTAGTGTAAAATAAAAAAAAACATTATTAATTCCCTTAGGTCGCGCGGGCGGAGCCGCGGTTAGTTCTTAAAATGTTGTTAAAAGTAAAGTACTAAAAAACGATCAAGCAAGTTTTCTGTGCTTATTTTAATTACTTTCCCTTTAATTTCAATTAACTGCGTTATATTCGAAAAAATGCGTTGTAATTTCTCGCAAATAATACGATACCAATAGTTAAACCCAAAGGTGTAACTTCATGATAAAAAATTTGTATTCATAAAAATGGACTTCTAGTGTTTTAAACTTACACCACGGTTATTTTTATTGTTCACAATATAAAATATTTGTATTTAACACATATTTTTAAAAATAACGAATACATTAACGATCGTTTGTCGATGGCTACTATTAAAGTCTATGTCTCGAAACTTATGCATTAGGGTTAAAGTATTCCAAAAAATTAGGTTTTATTGGGGGCCCCGGGATAAATACACTCTAAATTCCTTCCCGGGCCTTCGAATGAAACAAGTTTTACACAAAACTAAATTCAATGCCATGGATAAATAAGTTATAATAGTTAATAAGTAAGTAGTAAGATAAATTAAGTATTTTAATAAGGGAGATAACAATGTCTTAATAAATCAATATATTTTTAGGTAATAAGAAAAATACTGCATATTTTGTCC